GCTGGGGGGAGAAGGGCTGGTACGGTGCACTTATTTAAAAGCCAAAATCCCCCAAAGAAATGTTTCCCTTTTCCTATTCCATCATGTCTCAACTTCGACCTTATATGGATATTTTAGTCATTTACTTCTGTTTTCAGTCAAACCTAGCTACCATTTTATTATTAATTTATAATTTATACGGAGAAAATAAAAAGAAAAATAAATACTCTGGTTCGGAAAAGTTGGGACATTCCAACGAAGCTATGCTCAAGTTAGATTAAAAAAATTACAAAATTGAGCCTAATAATTTTAATTTGATCTTTATAATCTAGTCACTTTATATTAAGATTCAGGGATGAATTAGAGATAAATAGTGAGCTTTTTCAAGGAATAGAATTCTAGAGAACAAATGAGAATTTTTAAAATTTGTATGATCAAATTAAAACTAAATTTAAATTAATTACACGATCAAATTAAAAAAATAAACTAATCTAAATAATAATTTTAGTATTTTATTTCGTTATAATTAGTATCTCTAGATTTTTTTTTTTGGTTGGTTTTTGAAATTTGCTTCAACATTTTACAAATTTTAATTTTACACAGCTCCAAGCTCTTAAAAGATTGAGGTAGAAACAAAACTTTTAAATATAACTAAAAAATATCAAGATTTTTAAAATATTAAAATATCAAATTAAAACAAACTACAACCCTGATATTTTAATAATTTAACTTGTAAAAAAAATAATAAAAGTAGGCAAGCTTATCTATACCTCCATTGCATCTACCTATCATTTTTGTTTTCTATATTTAATTTTTGTTTTCATCTTTTGTTATTAGTTTTTTTTAAACATCTTATTTTAACTCCATTTATCAATATACATAAAATATATTTGATATGTATCTCCAATCATTAGGTTGTGAGTTCGATCACACATCTTATACTAAGAAAAACTTCATTTATTAATTATCTAACATATGCATAAATTCATTTTAAAATTTAATATCTAGTATAGGACTTTAAATCTATTTCTAAAAATTATTTATTAATTAAATTTGAGTATAATTCAATTGATTAAGACATTAATAAATTTTTTAAATATTTTTCTGAAGAACCCCTCTCAAGAGGTTGTCAAGTAATATCGTCGTCACATCCTTATTTCTGTTAAATAATTTATAAAAGATTAATTAAAATAATTTTCACCTAAAAAAATAATCTTTATGCAAGCAGTGGTAACATATGAGAATACGTTTGGTAAGTTGGAAATCTCCCAAATTTAATGAGGTGGGCAGATATATCTTAAAATTACTTAATTTAAACACGTGGGATGTGAATTCAAATTTTCGATATTTTAATTGATAATATCTTAATTAACTATGTTATTATCATACCTGTTTATTTAAAGCTACAAATTTAATAATCCTATCGAAAATATACACTCAAAATTTTTACACATACTAACTTTTATAAATATCACAAACTCAATTTATAAGTTATACAAATATATTTGGTCAAATTTGAACACAAATTTTGAAAATCAACAAGATTTTGAATCTACTCCCAAACTAAAAGAGAGAGGAGGGATTTTTTTTTTTTTGAATGTAATACCGCCGTCTTGAATGATATCTAGAATTTCAGATACTAAAAATATTAGATTAGAACCACGTTTATTTTTGTAGAAAAATTTATAGAGATGTCTAAAATATTCTTATTTTTCAGAATTAAGTAGTTTCGGTAAATTGCAACTGTCGTATTTAAAAATTTAATAGTTATATTTTTATGTATTTTAGGTCGGAAAACTTTTCGGAAGTTTTAGGAAACATTGATCTTCAAACTATAAAACAAAACAATCGGCGCTTTTTCTCAGCGCGAAATTCAAAGTATATATTTTTAAAATGTAATGCATATTTTTAGTTCGGGATATTTTCAGAGAGAAAAAGAAACGTATATCTAAATTAATGTATGTCAAGAGATAAAAACCCAGGCGGTGGAAAAAGCGATAACCGACGAAAGAAAACGGCAACCGTTTTCGGGTATGAACCGGGTCAAGAAATGTGACCCCACCACCCGACAAATTGGGTGGGCCCGACGCTTCCCAAAATCCTCCCACGTGGCAGCTGATGGGTCGGACTCTGCTCTGACGTGTCATTAACTAAGGGATTGTTCGAGCTAGTTGGAGTCCAGACGTCCAACTCCCGGTGAGAGCTTAGTCAGCTCCTGGCCCATCATCGACACGTGTAAGGCCAGAAACACACAAGTAAAAAGAAAGCAAATTTCCGTAGAAAAAAGTTGCTAATTTATTCAAAAGGTAATACAAAAGGAAAAAAAGGTAGAAATAAGTTTATGGTATCACACATAACATGCATAAGCACCCACGTGTTTATGCATGCATGTATGCGAGAGATAAGAGAAAACGACCTTACCAAAAATTATATTTGAAAATGGTGATTGCTATAACAAAATCGACTTTCAATATTAGTTCTAAGTTCTTATCAATACGATGATAAATATCATTTTATTATACGATGCGATGGATAGAAAGGAGGAATTTATAAAGAAAAAGGGGAAGTTTACCCAAAATTACCTCAAAACTTCCACAACATTTCCCATTAAACATTGGTTTATTTGTCAACTAAATGACCAAAAATGGACCTCACTAGTCACAAACAATTGGAGAATTTTGTAGCACTTCTTTCCTGGATCATATGATATATAATTAATATATATTTAATAATACGTCTGAAAAAATAAATTTCCCATGTTATTTACGCGTTGATGAATAAATATTGGATTCAATGCAATGTTTGCGTGGGCAGTCAATTGAAAAATTAAAAAATGAATGCAAAGATTATAAAATCAAAACGAAATCTCCCAGTAATTGCAAAATTAATACAACACATCTGACTTTATTATTGGATTCGCTACTCTCTCTTTGATTTTAGTTTTTTCTTTTTTTGACACAATCTTTGATTTTAATTATTCACGCGTTCCTTGCAAATCTTGAACCTTTTTTTTAGTGTGAAAATCTCGAACTACATCCTACACATTTGAGTGGTCTCGAACTCTTGAGCATAGTATTAAATTTGGACATTTCGACATGTTAATTTGATATTAATATAAGGGATGAATTACCATTTTTTTTTGGTAAAAGAGAATATATAAAATAAATTAGAATATCAACGATTAATGATAATAATTTTGAAATTATTTCAAAAAGAGTAAAATGCTCATTTGTTGATCAAAATATTTTTTAATATCTTTCATGAAATATCAATTGACATTGATATTTTACCGATATTTACATGGATATTTTTATGAAATTAATACATCGACATTTTCATTGAGGTTGTTGATGTCGAATTCTATCAAAGATTGAAGGTTAGCTACATTTTTACCTGGATGAACTATGGAGAAGCGAACTATACAAGACTACAAAGATGGAACAAACACTCCGAAGTTCAAATCAGTTAGAGTTCGAGCTGAGTAGGTTAACTTCAGATAGAATTGCGTACCTAGTTGGGTGGAGTGATAATGTATTTCTAGAGGTTAGGTAGGGTCTTTCTATTGGGAGAATCATGGCATTGATTATGGTGACAATCTCGATAACTATTTATTTCATTACTGGGATTGTTGAGCTACTCCCAAATGTTCACAGAAGTTGTTGGATCCTTAGTTCGGACGAGATGAGCTAAGGATTATTTGTAGCAAGCTGTGCAGGTTGGCGTCTAACCTTTTCGAGCTTATTTTCGATTTGACCTACCACACTCTAGTCGCACTTAATAGCTCGATTTGGATGAGTTTAATGGTTGTCGACTGTGGACCACTCAAAATGATTTCCCATTGGTTTATAACGTGGAGCGATCGACATTATTTTTTTAAGTATCCGTCCAGGGGTTTTTTTCCCTTTCCTTTTTAAGTCGTTATCAACTATAATGGCGAAAGCCTCACTAATATTTGATTATCAATGTGAACCCAACCTTACCTAACTAGCCCATCTTCATGGGTTATTTCTTTACAGTTTGAAAATTTGTATCTACTTTATTAAATTACGATTTTAATTTTAATTATAAAATTTTAAAAAATTACCTTATAAACATAGTTTCATTAAGTTCATATTTATAAAATATCAGAGAGAGAGAAAATAAATGAGAGATTGAAGAGAAAGTTCGAAAAAGAAGAAAAGAAAAATCAGAGTGAGACAAAATTCAAGAGAAGTAAGTTTGAGAGAGAGAGGACTTTTAACGTTAAATAAATAGTACATAAGATGGGGAGAAAAAATGTTGAAGAGAATCTTCAAGGAAGTTATGAGACTCATGAATTAATTGGACAAACTAGATTCATTTGTTCTGTATCAGTTTGCAGACAGAGACCGTACAGATATTGTGGAGTTGTGAAGGAATAAACAGTTAAACAAGATTGGGAAGAAAAAAGAAACAAATTACAGAATGCAAATGAATTAACAAATCAAAGCCAGCCCTTATGCACACCCATTTACTGCAGGTGCTGAATCAACAGGCAAATATCCAAGTTTTCTTTGTTCTCTCTCTCTCCCACTCTCTAGAAAAAAGAATCTACACAGAGCAATACAAAATTCTTAGTCCGCATCTCGAGTATCGGCAGCGGGACCTGCATTGCCGTGATGGAACTTCACCACAATGCACGTTATGTTGTCAGCGCTACCACGGGTAAATGCTGCTTCGGTTAGCTTCCGAGCAGCTGCCTCGGGTTCTTCCTCCTTCCCAGCAACTAATACTGCATCCTGAATTCGGCATTTATGTTCATATGTGGAGATCATATAGCCATTTACAGCATCTTGGATGAATGGGAGAGAGCACATACCTCGTTGCGTACCACGTCCCAAAGTCCATCGCTTGCGAGAACGAGCAACTCAATGTCTTTGTCAACTTCGAGATCCTGATCAGCATTGTTGTCAGTTCGTAAACCACAACAACCTTTACTACATGTGAAATTCGCTAGTTGAAACATTCCGATCTCCATAAAACATTCTAAGTCTATTCAAGTAAGCTACTAAAAATTTGAGAAGATCCAAGACTTTCTCCTTCCATCTATCCATTCCATGATTCCATTATTGGTCTAACACTACCAATCACAAGGTGAACCTAATACTTATTTGGGCTCCCCTGCACATAGGTTAACAAAAATAACTATTTTTTGGAACTAAAATGATTGCCTGGACGACAGGGTATTGGGAAAAACACCTGAATCTCGGGATCTGCCACGACAAACTGCTTCAACATCTTGTTACCAAAAGCACGGGACATTGCTAAAACTCCTCCTACCCTCCAAGTACCTAACAACAACAGAATACAATGTGATTAAGACAGACCTATGATGTAATCACCTCCGGATTATTGCAATATCGAAGCAGAAAATGAACTAAAGGCATTACATTCTTTCCAGAAGTAGGTAACAAGAATTATATTGTTCAGGCAACCAATCCGTAGTTATCAAGGAAATCTTGCGTAGTAGTTAAAACGAACAGGATGACTTGGTTTTTGGTTTAGGATACATATTTCAGCTTTCAGTGCTCAGAACTTCCATTAGCATGTGAATCATTCTTATTAGAGTGTCTGTGTAAATGTGATGATGGAACTTTGAGTCCCTTGTTTATATATTTCAAGTTAGCACTAATCATTTTCCAAGTTAACCAACAGGGATAGCAGTTATTAACATCATTACCAAAGCCATTATTAATCTTACCAGCCCACATGACAACACCCCCGGCGTTTTCAATTCTCCTTCGCTCGTCAGTTCTGTTCGGCTTATGGTCCTCAGAAAGGGGGATAGCTGCCCAGAAGAATTAAAATTCGTTTCAAAGTTTACATTCAAAAAATAAGCACAAAGTCACTGACCAAGCATATGAAGGTACATTTTGAATCCCCATTTGTTTAACTTTACCTTTATTATTAGCTTTCACTAGAAACTATTATGGTCAAGAGTCTTGACTTTCTGCCTTACATTAAAACTAAAAAGCATAGAAAACAAGAAAAAAATAAAGAAGTAATACCTTCACCACCCTTTGATATTATAGCACGTGAATCTCCAACATTTGCAACATAGAGGTGATTACCAACTAGCAAAGCTGTTGAAGCAGTAGAGCCATCGTCCCTTAAAGTATCTTTTTCTGAATTCAAAAATTCAGCATCGGTCTGTTGATAAGTTTCACCTGTGAAGTGATAGAACAAATTTTTAATCAGTAGAAAATTATGAGAACTGGAATCTTAGAATTTTGTTTTCAATATAAAACAGTGCAATGTGTACAAAGAACATAAAACTTAAAGATCCTGCACTGTTACACATGTGGGCAGCTATAATATAACCATCATATAAACCTAATGTTTTTAGCTTCGTAAACAAAAGGATGAGGCATAAGGGAAGGCAAACACACTGATTGCTAATTTGGTATCCATCAAAAATTTTGGATGCTTCATGAGATTCTCAAAGAGATGGTCCTTCAGAAACTCTGCAGCACGGGATCCACCGTGACCTATAACAACATAAAAAGAAGTATTATCTCTACTATTTCTAACATCTGAAAATATCCATGATAGCATATATCGTTAAATGTTCAACATCAATTAAGCAAAAAAAAAAAAAAAGAAGAAAAAAAAAAAATATATATATATATATATTCACCTCCGGTAATAATTCGAGAGTCAAAACTAATTAAGAAGTATATGGTTTGGATATATACAATATAAACTTGGTGCAGTTTGAATATATACAATTTATTAAACTTCAATCACTACCTAGTCCACTGAATTGGAAAGATTAGAATTTACTGACAACCTAACACCTACATCACGCCACTGGAAAAATGGAGGGAGAGTCTAACCATCAAAAATGCCAAAAAGGCAGACTGTTTGACCATCGACCTTTGACATTTTAATATCAAAGAAATCTTCCATGGTTGCCCTCTTTCCTCTGAAACTTGAATACCCCCAACTAAGTTTCCCATCATCGCTGAAAATCAAACCAAAAGATAAAAAGCTAAGTGCATTTCTCATTGAAATCCATTGTTCGATAGGCTAGGTGCAGCAACAATATCAAAGCATTGTGTTCATTTTATCTTCGTAGGAGCAGAATAACAATTCAATAGCACAATTCTGCTTAACTTCAAATGAAAATCATTCAAACAAAATCCATTCAGACCTTTTCCACCCTCCACTGGCATAGCCACCATCTTCATCTTTCTCTGGATGCTGATCAACAATCAGCCCGCGATTTTCCGATGCACCCGTATCGACCATCATCATGAGACTTGTTCTAAATTCACGCTTCCAGGTGTGAGCAAATCCAAGATTGGCAGGTAAGCTCCTCCACAAATATTTGATTTGGACCCGTCTGTTGATTATTCCTATATGTCCAGCCTGAGCAATCACATTCCTTATATTGTAGCTGCATACCATCTAAACCAACAACTGCACAATCACATCCTTACAGTCATCAAAAGATGCTATCCTGATAAACGATTCAAAAGCAATAATGAAGAAGAGATGCAGCAAAATTAAATCCTCACATTATGAATAATTAAATATAAGAAACTTCGAATTCTCTAACCGATGCATCATATTAGAATGATAGCAAGATCTGAAGAGCGGGTCAAAAAAAAAAAAACAAAACAAAACAAAACAAGATTTCGCTCTTTTGGTCTCCAATCACACGCTAAGGTCACATAAAACTCTCCACTCCCACATGATTTACCCATACCCAGCCGAAAACCAAGTCTAAACTCAATAAGGACGAAATGGGTCGTGGCCAATGATTAGAGTGATTCTAATTCATTCACCGCCCTTGATTTACAGAAGCTTTGGAGGGGGGAGATAATCTAGACAATCGTAAAAAGTGAAAACCAAAACTATCAAACTAATCGCGAAAAGAGTAAGTTCCAGACGAAATCGATACAGATATGTGAAGGGGGATCGCAAATTGTGGGAAAAATTGGAAATGTTTAGCTGGGGAGGCATGAAAATGATGATCCCATCTGGGGAATGGGAACAAAAAAGAGGGGATCCGATGTATATACTTACAGTGGGAAGAAAATGGAAGAATCGGGCAGAATAGAGTGCCACAGGAAAGAAAAAGGAGATAAACAAGAGAGAAAGAGAGAAAAATGGTGGCTTTCCGAACCGAAACATTGGCACCGAAGAGGAGAAGCCAGGTGGCAATATGGTGCGTCCCTTGCGTCCACTGAATAATGCTTTTTTTTTTTCTTTTAAACTATTATTTTCATGGGTCTCTCTCTTCCTTTCGTTTTCATTCGACATTTTCAAACCTTCTAATTTCTTCTTGTTCGTTCATTTTAATTCAATTTCGCCAAAAAAGGAATTCTTCATCATCCATGCATTCAATTTCAAGTTTTCTCCATGCTTCTTCCAATTATTTTCCTAATATTAGTTTTTCAGAATATCTCCAAGGTTGGTTAGTAAATTGCAAGTTGGTAACGTTTCTTTTTTGTTATTCTTTAATAAATAAAAACAAATTTAAACTGTTTCTTATTTTTTTTCATTGAAAAAACAAAAATATATTTGACAATAATGTGTTGTGTCTTGTATTCTAAAAATTTAAAATAAAAAAGTTTTGTATGAAAATTAGTTTTTCATATTAAATATTCAAAAATTTTAAGTTATTTTTATTTTTTAATATTTATTTTACATTCGATAAGCTAGATAATATTTGTATTTATGCTTTAAATGTAGAAAAGAAAAAAAATGATTGTGCTGATTTCAAAATTTATATATAATATAGAAGGTTTGAAAAACAAGAAACAAAGTAGTTACAAAATAAAAATAAGAAGTATAAACTCCGATCTTAGAAAACGAGTACATATCAATTATCGTTGAATTATGTTCATGTTAGTAATTCTATAATTACTGTTAATAAAATATGATGGATGCACCCATAAAATGTTGAATTAGGTAGGGTCATCTAATTTATTTTAGATTTTTTTGGGGCTAGTTATAAGTTATAACTACCTTTGATTATAAGAAGTGCTTTTTGTAACATTGTTGAAGATTTTTGATAGAGAAGTATATATGTGGCTTTAATATAAGATTTTTGGATAAAACAGTTGACTTAAAAGACTTTATTATAAGAATTTTGGGACGCGGGAAGCTGTCGTTTACCACCCGAAAGTCGACGTGTCGTTTGGGGCAAAATAAATACAATATTTAATCTTGAGATTGACGATTGGGCGCTTCAGTGTCGTTTCTGTCACCGGGTGGCAACTCCCAAAGAATGCAGAGTCAAAGCTCTGTAACTCCACTGTCTTGTTACATGGACCTTCGCCGCGGGACCCAACTGCGCCCCAATTCCAATTTCTGATCATCTCGGAGCTACATTCTCTTTGTGTGGACTAGTCAAATTCCGGAAGAAAGCTTCATCATTCATAATGGCAGTTCGGAATTTTCCTCGCAAGTTTTGTAGCGCATTTCGGCTTTCTACGAGCAAGAACAACAACTTTAATGAGCGAGTGGACGTTTTCTTTGCTTTCTTTCCGTTCCCATTTGAAAGGTATGATTGATTTTCGGTAATGAGTTCGAGTTCGGGTCGGGTTCTGATTAGTTCATTTTCAGTATTGGTTTTTATTTTCGAAGTTGGTTTGAGATAGATGCCTGGTGAACTTAACGTGGCTGGCTATGGATAATCTTCCTGTACTTTGTGTCATTTGGTGGTTCTCAATTGCTTCCGTTTCATGATGCAACCAGTTGATGAATGGGTTATTTCATGGCAGTGGATATTATGCTTTTATGCAGACAACTTGGTCTGGAATCTGGATGTCTGTGAGCTTGAATTCGTATGGAGAGACTCATAGACCCCCTTGAATAACTGATTTCTACTTTGATTTCTGATTCTTCCCCCCCTTTTTTTGTGTGCTTATTTCTATAAGTTGGCTTGAATGTATGTTTATTATTTTTTAATATTGAAATTGATACTTATGGCTCCATTGAGGGCAGCGAAACCCGCTTCTTCATCCTTTCAATCTTTTCTGATTATTTATCAATTTGTTACTGGTCAGGTTTCAAGATCCCAGGCCAGAGAAAGCTAGTGGAGTTTCCTAGTGGATGAGTGAATGAATTCAGGCAGTACAAGTAAACTTGGTTTGAAAATCTCTTCGCATTGGACTGGCATCTAGTTCTGAGAGAGTTAGAAGAGCTAAGAAACTAATGAAATCTTCTATATCTAATAACCTCACGCCTGAAGGCTTGCGCTCTGGGAGAAAAATGTTTGACCCACAGGAACATTTTCTTCAAACATGGAACAAGATGTTTGTGCTGTCTTGTGTGATTTCTGTTTCGCTGGATCCTCTGTTCTTTTATGTTCCTGTGATTGATAATAACAAGAACTGTCTAAGGTTGGATAGGAAATTGGAGAATCTGGCCTGTATCTTACGATTATTTACAGATGTATTCTATATTGTGCGTATTTTTTTTCAGTTTCGTACAGGATTTATTGCTCCCTCTTCCCGAGTATTTGGAAGAGGTGTTTTAGTAGAAGATTCATGGGCAATAGCAAAGAGGTATCTGTCATCATACTTTCTAATTGACATTTCTTCAGTCCTCCCACTTCCACAGGTAAGGAAAGTTTCTTGGGACTTGAGAGTATGTCTGTTCTATTGTTAATTTATTAGCAGCTTTACTAAGGGAATTCTAGATTCACGTTCCCGTTTGATTCAATCTTTCCTCCTCTTTTTCTTGAAATGGTTTCAACAAATTGAGGTCTGCACGATATGGACATGCAGTCAGAAATCTGTATTCTGTTATGCTTAATTTTTGCAACAAACAACTATTTTGAATGGAGTTGGAATATTATGGAAAAAAACAACTTCGTAGGTATTTTAAGAGTTGCATAGAGATTCAATTTCCTTTTACACTTGGATTTTTGTAGACTATAAATTTATTTTGAAAATTCATAGGAAGTCTGGTTCCACTCATTTCAAGGTTGTCATTAATGCATAAAAGGTCTCATTCACTGATAGCCAGTACTCTTACTTTTAAAATATTTTTATGATGGCCATCTTTAGTTTTGTACACTATAATAGTAACTCAAACCATATTTGTAATATCTGTGGGATGATTGCAACCTGAGTGAAGCATGCATATGTAGTATTGGACTGTGATCTTGATACATTCAAATGTTTGAAGGACTGGTTCAAATCATGTTGAGGTTGACAAAGTATGTTGACCAACATATTATTTCTTGAGTTCATTTGATTTTGACATGCGAATTGTCCTGCTTTTTTATAATTCGCCTAGGTGGTGATTCTGATAATCATCCCTAAAATGGGAGGTTCGAGATCAATGAATGCAAAGGACTTGCTGAAGTTTGTTGTTTTATGTCAATATGTGCCAAGGTTTCTTCGAATCTATCCACTGTATAAAGAAGTTACAAGGACCTCGGGCCTATTCATTGAAAGTGCATGGGCGGGAGTTGCATTTAATCTCTTTCTATACATGCTAGCCAGCCATGTTAGTTTTCTCTTTTATCCCTTGGGTGGAAGCAGGACTTTATTTAAAGTGCCAAGTAATTTTATCACCACTTGCTGTACATTGATGACTTAGTTTGTTTTCCCCTTCAATTTCTACAAAAAATGAATAGAATTTTTTCATTTTTCTAATGAATGGGTTTCCGGTTTGGTCTAATAGGTCTTGTTAATCTAGGAAGGGTCACCTTCATGTATATTGGAAACTAAGTTTGGAGTTACTCCAATGGGCAAAAGGTTATCGTCTCATCTAATTTCTCTGAATGATACCAAGCCTTTGACCCAAGAACTTAAAAGAGCTCACTATATAAGAGCTTCATGCATGCCAATAGAGTTTGCTAGAAATGGAAAGTATATTTATTATAACAGAAAGGGTGGTCCATTTGTTTTCCTCCTCAATTTACCAAAATGGATTGCCTTCTAGTAGATTAAATCAAACTCCCTTCAATCTTCCAAAATTCCTTCGTTTTTGAGAATAGAGAGGGAGAGAGGAAGTAGGGTGACATAATGGTGCTTTTTGTGCTGACATGTGATTAAACAGTTGAAGCTAATCAACCATATAACTTAAGCGTCTCATACCAAGATCCTTATGTCATATAACTAATGGGCTAATTTCATGGCATCTAGGGTCTATTTGAAAAACATAACAAGTATGGGGATGGCGGATTCTTCTGCATATTCCCCTCTTCACGTGATTTCTCAAGTGTGCCATAATAATTAGAGTATTTCTATCGTGTATGTTAATTATATTCACACATTTAGTTCATCCCTCTTCTGCAGTGACATTTTATTTTGTGTCTTGCCATTCTTAGGTATTTGGGGCGTTATGGTACTTATTTTCTGTAGAACGGGAAACCCAATGCTGGCTTGAAGCTTGTAACAATCATAGTGGCTGTACCTCTACTTCCTTGTATTGTGATGACCGTTTTGAAGGGAACACATTCCTCAATGTTTCTTGCCCAATCAAACCGCCAAATGAGACACTTTATAACTTTGGAATATTCCTTCATGCCCTTCAATCTGGTATTGTGGAATCAATGGATTTTCCATCGAAGTTGTCTTACTGCTTTTGGTGGGGCTTAAGGAATTTAAGGTATACTGTCCACTGCCCCTTTGAGATATTCTTTATTATTGAGAAATCTGCTATGAGTTATGTGGTTTCTACTCTAGAAAGTATATTTCATATTCATAATTATGTTTTCTTATTGCTTTCTCTGCATATTTTTTGAAGTGAAGATGTTAGGCTTATAATAGGGCATACCTTGTACTTAGTTCACTGCAGCTCGCCCTTCTTTTCATACAAATTAGTGGTCCCATAAGAAGTTCTTAGTATAACTGTCTTAAAATCACAGTTTTGTCAGCAAAGGTTGATAATATTCATGTAAACTGGTCGCTTGCAAATATTTACATATGTTATCACTTGTCTTGTTTTTATCGCTCTATTTAGTGTCATTTTTTACCCTTAGCAACATGTAAGGCTTCAAAGAGAATGAGTTCAAACCATCAAGGCCACCTACCTAAGATCTAATATTCTATAAATTTATTTGATAACCAAATATATTAGGGTTAGATAGTTGTCTTGTGAAATTACTCAAGGTGCGAACCACCTAGCTCAAGCACTCACGGATATAAAAATAAAATTGGGAAAAATAAAAAGCATGTTAGGGCAACTAACAGAGCCACACGTGGTTCTGTCCAATATAATATGATTTCAGGTGGATAAAACTTGTGCTAAATGATTAGAGCTCACTGAAAAATTCACTTAACTCGTTACATTTTGTTGAGTCATTGTGTATAAATTTGAGTCCTCTCACCCACATCCTCAGCTATGAGAATTCTGAATGCAGGTATTAAAGTGATACTCCCTGAGAGACTAGTTTTACAATCCATTAACCTCCAGAATTTCTATGATGTTTGAGCATTTTGCCATTTAAGTTTTGGAGTAGTTTTCTGGATACATATACTTCTCTCTTGGGTGCAGCTCTTGGGGTCAAAATCTTGCTACGACGAGCACTTACACATGGGAAAACTGCTTTGCAGTTTTAGTTTGCATCTCTGGCTTAGTGTTGTTTCCGTCACTCATAGGCAACATGCAGGTTGGTACTATCTATTATGGCTGGTCTGAGCATATTTGGCATATCTTTAAGGTATTTAGGGTTGACTAAAAGAATTGTTTATATAACTAAATTTTTTATTGTTAATAATAAAAAAGTGGTGCGCAAATTCTAGAAAGAGATAAAAAGTACTTAATGATTTTCAGTTTTTGAGGAAGTACTTAATCAATGCTTCTTCAAGAAGTGCTTTTGAGAAAAGTGTTTTAATAATTGCTGATGTTTACGTGAATGAAAGTTGGATATTTGATTATGGATTGATGAGCAGCCGATAGATCAACATTTTGAAAGCCTATGCGATGTTTGATGCATATTTTACATTGATATGGTTTTGGAGCCTTTCTGTATCCATTGGGATTGTGCAATTCCTCTTAGAACAACGAGTCCCAATATCTCTCTCTGTGTCGAACTTTGTGTGTAACAGATGTATTGGCTATCCACAAACACAAGGGTGGAGGAGATGAGAGTGAGAAGGAGAGATGTAGAACAATGGATGTCACATTGCTTACTCCCTGAGAATCTAAGGAAGCGGGTTCGGAGGTATGAACATTACACTTGGCAAGAAACCAGAGGTGTTAATGAACATAATCTACTGCATAATCTTCCTAGAGACCTCCAACGAGACATTAAACGCCATCTTTGCTTGGCTTTGCTAATGCGAGTGAGTTTCCTTCTGCTCCTTTAATTATGTAGAAAGACAGTGGATACGTCCAAGCATACTATGTATGTACATATATATAACTAAGTAGCGGATATTGGAGCAGAATTTACTGGATTAAGAGAGTGAGATTGAGATGGCGTTTGGGATCAGGATTTTTAAGCGAGCCTTTTTTTTTTTTTTAAATTATTGTAAGCACTTTTGGAGAGAATACTAGTTTGGAAAGATGGATGAACTATGGTCATAATTAATCGCTAGCTGAGTTAAACACATCACGAACGTAGCTTTTTAAATTGTCTCTGATGACTTATGTACATTTTTTATTAAGGTTCCAATGTTTGAAAAGATGGATGAACAATTGCTAGACGCGATTTGTGCCCGTCTAAAGCCAGTGCTGTACACGGAAGAAAGCAACATTGTTCGGGAAGGCGACCCAGTCACCGAGATGCTCTTCATCATGCGAGGCAAGCTATTATCCATGACAACAAATGGTGGGAGAACTGGTTTCTTCAACTCTGATTTTCTCATGGCTGGTGATTTCTGTGGGGAAGAGCTACTAACTTGGGCTCTAGACCCTCATTCCTCAACCAATCTCCCCATTTCAACTCGAACCGTCCGAGCACTTACAGAAGTTGAAGCATTTGCTTTAAAACCCAAGGACTTGAAACTTGTAGCGTCTCAATACCGCAGGCTTCACAGCAAACATCTGCGCCATATTTTCAGATTCTACTCACAGCAATGGAGAACCTGGGCAGCTTGTTTTGTACAAGCAGCATGGCGACGCCATCGAAGAATGAAGCTCAGAGAGTCTATCCAGGAAGAAGAGAGTAGAGTGAAAGACACGTTGGCTAAGCTCGAGGGGCGGTCGCCGAGTTTAGACGCCACCATCTATGCATCTAGATTTGCTGCTAACATGCTGCTTCAGAAGCCAGCAGAGCCTGATTTTACCTTGGAAGTTAACACATAACCATAGATTAAAAAGGTGACATTTTATTTACATCTGTTGTTTATCACTTTATGTTGCCTCTTGGTTTGGAGATGAGGATGTACTGAGCTGCTTGTTCTTATTTGGAATGGTTCATTTTCATTGTAGAAATAATAGCATTTGCAATAATCAGAGGGTACATTGTTGAATCCTTCAAGAAAATAAAGTTGAGTGTACTGCACCAAGCATAAATGTTTTTCTGCTTTTTATTATGGTACCTTTGACCACTCTGTCTCTGGTAGGTGGCCACAGTTCCATTTCAGTGTAAATTATTGAATCCTACCAAACATGAAAGAATTCTAGTTGGACTGCACTCAGCACAAGTGTTTTTTTCTTCTTTTTTTTCCTGGTTTTTGTTATGACACATTGAATTTAAACAAATGGGAGGAGCACAATATTCACGTGGGTAATGTAAATTATGATTTATAAGACTATGTCCAGTTTATTGGTAGTAGGCTTACACGTTCCAACTAATGGAATATAATAAAGACATATTTGGTAGCATCAACTTGACCATAGCTCGCTTTAGCAGGTATAGTTCAATCGTAGTTGTCATATATCTTTAACATTTATATCGGATCAAAAAGTCATGAATTCTCTACTTGCTGAAAAAAGACATATTCGGTCGGATCAAAAAGTCATGTTTGAATTTTCTACCTACTAAAAAAAGACATATTTGGTAGGAAAATTAGCCGCCTAGTGGGACCCTCTATGGATCTGAAATTCAACAACTGTTGTGGGAGTGGCAGTGGCACATCAATTGAGTAACTTTACTTATTGATTAGGTCATTAGTTAATCTCATCACTTATGCCTTTTCTCTTTCTTCATTATTTGTTGGAAAAAATAAATGCGGGTTGAAGAAAAGTAACAGCATGTTCACATTCTCTGTCTCTCAATGGGTTTAACATAATTTTCAATTTCATCCCTAATCTTGTAAAATTTTCTATTTTATCTTGAATGACAAATATTTAATGATGCATTCCATGAAATATTTGTTAATGGTTATATTTTAGAATATATTATAATATCTTAATCAAATTGAGTTGATGTCAAAAAAAAAAAAAATCAATTGAGTTATGTTGGACTTATTTAATAGAATAAATTTTAGTAGTGTACTGTTGGGTTCAGAAAAAAGAAGTTGTGTTGGGTTTGTAAGAAGTGCAAACAAAATTGCTAGGAAAATGGATGATCCATGATATATAAGAAAAAGACAATTATCTCTATCGGTACGAGGCTTTTTGGATGGAACCAAAACCAAAATCACAATAACTAAAGCAGACAATATCATATTATTGTGAAGATAACAAGCTGCTGGAGCTATTGGGTTAGGGCACAACATCGAGGCACCATTTAGGCGCTGCCTATAACGTCAGGGCTCTATTGTAAATCCTAAAGAAAAGGCTCGCTTGCACATAGTGTTGGCTTGGCGCTAGATAATTTCTATAAATACATTGTCTTTTCACTAGGTTTTCCAGCATAATAAATTTTAGGGAATTGTGGCAATTTTGGCAAAGAAAACATAGGAAAATAATGTAGAGCTTGTTTTGGCATCCTATTCTTAGAGTTTAGTGAGATTTTTTATTTATTATATAATTTAGCCATTGTTGTGGTACCTAGACGTTAAGTAGTCATTGTCGTAGTAGTTTAGCATAGTAGAACGAAAGAGAAACTCATTGTTAATCTTCTAGAACATAATAGCACAACGACTTGTTTCAAAAAAAACTAAACATATTCTTTTAAGTTTAAAGGCACTAATATATATTCTATCCCTATCTCCTATTTCTTTGTGTTATTACACGAATGTGTGATTTGTTTTGTCCAGTGGAAGAAAATTAGAAAATTAGGTCCTGATTTGATGCAAAAAGAAAAAAAATAATGTGGTCTAGAAATAAAACGTGACCGAAATTGACACGAGAATGAAAAGGAAATTGTTTATTATTTGGAATATTATCTTATTTTTGCTGTTGGGAGTTGGAAGAGAAGAGAAAAGGAAAAAAAGCAAAAAGAAAGGTGTATTATTCATTTATTTGTACACGGAAAGAGACGCAGTTTTAAAAAAAATACATCTATATTTCTATATAAAATTATTGAGAAGCGTGACCTGATTATCAATATTTATTCATATCGTATGATTTTTTAAAAAATTGTTGTAAATTATTAATTCATCCTAATCCTATTAATCATAATTTACTATATTGACTGGCTCTGAAATAATAAATTTTAAAAATAAAAAATATATTATTTCTGGTCACGTGCTACAAATCATCAATATTAAGACCAAGTTTAGACAAAATAAATTAAATGTTGTTATACTAATAATAATAATAATAGTAACTAATACTTGAAAATTAATCATTTACTTACCTTGTAGATTTTATGATTTTTAAAAATAATAACTATCAGGACAAAATCCGTAGTAGAAAAAAAAAATTATTAGGACAAATTTAGTTCAGTGACTCAATTATTTTAGTTCAGTTGGCTTTATTATAGAAAAGAAGACTAACCTTTATTGAAAAAGTCTCCTGATGGAACATTGTAAGAGAAATTTGAGTCACATGGTCATTTATTTTCACGTTGGTGGGTAGATTTTACACTTTCTTTTTCATTTAAAAAAAGTAATAATAATAATAATAATAATAATCGAGAATATATGTATTTAGATTATTCCAAATAAATAATCTTTTTCTATATTAAAAATATTTCTCATTTATAACGATATAATAATAATTAGCTGTCCAAGATCATAACAAACAACTCATTTATTATTATTATTTAGAATATAGTATAGCAATTATAAGAGTGAGGACGAGATCTGAAAAAAAAAAAACTAGATGATAATAGAAATGCATAAAAAGAAAAAAAGTAATTATTAAGACTTTATCTTAAATAATTTTCCGTTAAAATGGATAAAAAAAGAGGTTGCTTTCTTTTCACAAGCATGCCCATTGCCCAAAGGAAGCCAGCCCAGCCTTCGCTTTTTTCATGCAATGCAATTGCATACTGCAAAGAGAAAGGGAATCTTTCATCTCTCTTTTTTGATATTTTTCAGAAAAGCCAGAAGATAGAGAGGTTGGAGGAAATGGACCCATTCATAATCGATTATTATTGGTCTGCTTAAAAGCAATTCTATTTGTACAGCTACAAATTCATTTTGGTTGATCACGGCGGCTCAAAGCTGCTTCCAGAATTGGAAATTGTGACATACCCACCACCAAAAGCTTCAAATTAGCTTCATCCCTTTTCTCCTATTTGTGAAATTTTGTGTTCCATTTCTTACTCGATCAGCCATGGAAGTACAGAAGTAAGTCTCTCTGTCTCTCTATCTTCCCCTCTGGGTTTGGAGTTTAGTCTGGTTCATGTTGGATGGATATGAAGAGACGTTTTTCTTCTTCCTCTAACATAATTATGGCTGTGGTGTGGAGTTGCTTCTTTTCTGATAATGTAGAGAGAGTTGCTTGGTTTTTTGAAGCAAAGGGTCAAACCAATGCAATAACATGAGTCATCTGTAGTCATTTCAAGAGTTAAAAATAAAACGCGCAACTGTCTTTTCTCTCTTTGCTTTGGAGCACCACAGTGTTAATTACCCCAGTTCAGAAAATAAAATTACTTCAGGCTCTGTTGTGCCTTCCTAATCTTTTCAGATTATTACTAGTAGTTTCTTCACATGTTCTATGTTTTCTACTTGATTATGCTTCATAATTCCGTTAGATCCACAAAATTGTTATAAGCTCTAGCCGTGTAATTTTATCGATTTCAGGAGTTTGAGTGTTTGTTGTGTGCAGGAAGCAGTTTCAAGATGGTTTTATTTCGATGATGTCCGCGTTCCCAAATTTGTTTAAGTACTCAAGTGTCAATCTCTTTTCAACGGTTCCCCTCATTTGTTTCCATTAACATTCATTGGGTCACCGTTTAAATCCTTAGGTTCATACTCAGCAAAGGCAACTTCCATTCTTCATTAGTAAACATTTTGTACTTTAATCATTTACATCATAGTGTCATTTCATTATGAACTCTTATGTATCATCTATAGAATATTACCAGATAAAGTTGGCAATTACAGTGATTATAGCAACCTTCCAGGATTAAATAATGATATCACTGGCTAATTATATATGAAACGTTCTGGTTGAATTCATGTTAGTTGGTTTATCAAATATGCTTTCATTTTCAACTTCTTCATATGTACTGTTGAAATTCTTCCTATTTCCCCCCTTCTCTGTGGCTGTTTTACTTTCTTCATGTTCTTTTCTTCCATGTCCTCAAATAGTAGATATACCTATTGAGTTTATTTATTCCAAGCGCTCTGTCCAGGAGTTCAGATGGTTTTCATCTGCAACACAGTGAAAAGCAACATTCGGCTGCTGGAGAAACACGCTCACAGGATGCACCGAGAACATTGGAATCAGTTTCTAAAAGCTTTGCTACTAGTTTTGATAGACTTACGAGTTTCGGAAACATATATTTTGAAGAAGAAGTTAGGAGTAAAGGCTTAGGATATCTTAAAAGAATTGTTAATAGACACCCAATATTGCTTCATTTGTGGAATGAAATACTTGCCATGTTGTGTGTGATTGCTACCTCATTGGATCCTTTGTTCTGTTACATCCTGTTTGTTGATGAAGGTAAAAGGTGTGTTACTTTTGACAAGAAGTTGAGGACAATAGCTGTAATTCTTCGCTCAATCACAGACTTCCTCTACATAATTCTTATTGTCTGTCATTTTCAATTTGGTTATTCCTCATTTTATAATGCAAATCGTGGTGGTGTTGATGATGGTAATTGCACAAAAGCATGGAGATTCTTGTGGTCCTACTTCACAGTTGATGTTCTCGCAGTTCTTCCACTCCCCCAGGTATGAAACTTCAGTCTCTGCAGAAATAGATTCCATTAGTATAATTTAATGTAATATAATATCTCAAGCTTTCCTCAAATTTTCTAATTTCCTGAATTTTATTGAAGGATTTGATTATATATGTAGATGGCCAAGATTCCAATCTTTTTTGCCTAATGATATATTCTGATGAATGTGAAAAATACTTGTGTGCAGGTGGTGGTTTTATTTGTCATTCCAAGGTTCAAAGGATATGAATTTATATGTGCAATTAGGTCATTGAAGTATATTCTCCTTGCCCAATATTTGCCGAGGATCTTTCGAATCTATGCATTCTTAAAGAAAGTTCGATGGACTGCTAACATTCTCCCAGAAACTGCTGGGGCTAAAGCTGCATTCAATCTCTTCCTTTATATGCTTGCAAGCCATGTACGTAGCTTCTGTGAGATGGATTACACTAAAGTCAGAGATTGATTTTTAAACTCTTATATGGTCTTTCCATGCATATTTTTAATCTACTAGTTGACAGGATGCAAGCTCATTTATTAACCTTCATTTTTGTTCCTTTTGAAGAGTTGATAAATGCTTTGAACTGAGAACCAACAGGTCAAACTATTAATTGCGTCTTGGTTAAGAACATGCAGAGTCATGTTATTTGAAGTAGATAATTGATAGCAACAGTTCTCTTTTGTGCTTTCTTCTAATAAGCTTATATTATACTGCTCTTTCAGGTTATTGGAGCATTTTGGTACTTGTTCACCATAGAGCGAAAAACAACTTGCTGGCTTGAACGCTGTCAACATTGCTCTTTAAACTGTATTTACGCTTCAGGCAATGCAAGTGCAGACAGTATTTGCTCTGAAGAAGCTAAAGATGGGCCGAACAATTTTGATTTTGGGATATTCAAAGATGCTCTTCGTATTGTGAGGGCAAGAAATTTCGTTAGGAAAATCTCTTACTGTTATTGGTGGGGTCTGCAGAAATTGAGGTTCGTCTTCAAAAGATTATGTATTCTCTCTTATTGAGTTGTTTTTTTCCTTTTAATTTACGTTCACCAATCAAGTCGCTGTCTTTGATAAAGTTATACTTGTGCTTCTTTTACATTCTTGTTATGTGATAAAGAACTTACCTAGTGTTCTTGCATACTTTCTGAGCAAGGGGCAAAGATATTATTTGACTAAGTTAAGGTATCAGTTTACTTTAAGAGTAATTTTTGTGCTACTCTGAAAGAAAAGACACAAAAAGTTTGTGATTTGTCATGGATTGAAGACTGTCTTGTGTTCATCTTATGAGGTTTCTAATGTAATATATTGCAGTTCTTTGGGTCAAGACCTCAAAACTAGTGACCATTTGTGGGAAGTATACTTTGCAATCACCATTACCATTTCTGGCTTGGTATTATTTGCACTTCTTGTAGGAAATTTGCAGGTTAGTAGCTAACTTTACTTCAACTTTACCGATCTAGACATTAAGGGTTCATTTGGTGACGTTCTTGTTTTTTATTTCTTATTTTCCATTTTCAATCTTTTAGAAACATGAGCATTTGGTAATTGTATTTGGTAATTGTTTTTGTTTCTTGTTCCTGTTTTTCAGTTTTTCCAAAACATAGATAAAAGTATTATTTTATCATTTTTTATGTATAAAATGCACATGAAGTGTCAAAGATTAAGCATAACATAAAGATTTTGAATATTTGATTTAAAAAATTAAGTTTCATATAAAACTTCTACTTTTTTAATTTAAAAGTCTAGAGAACAAGAAATAAGAAAGGGTCAGCAAACATTTTTTTTTTCAATAAAAAAGAAATAACTAGAAATAAGAAATAATAACCGAATGCAATTACATTTTTCTTGATTGAAAAAGAGAAAACAAGAAATAAGAAATAAGAGTGTTACCAAACGGACCCTAATTTATCTCGTTTCGTATCGGCAAGTTGCAAAGCACATAATCAGTAGTTGTTTGGACGGCTAAACCTTTTAGTTTATACGTCTCCCCAACGTTATTATCTGATCTGATGAGGTATTTTATTGTGTAACAAACAGACATATTTGCAGTCAACTATAGCAAGATTAGAGGAAATGAGATTGAAGGGGCAAGATATTGAGCTGTGGATGACTTACCATTCCCTCCCACCAAAGTTGAAGAAGAGGATTAAAAAGTATGAACGGTTCAAGTGGCGAGAAACCAAAGGTGTTGACGTCGAGCAGCTTCTTCATAATCTTCCTAGAGACCTAAGAAGGGACACAAAACGACATCTTTGCTTGAGTTCACTCTCAAACGTAAGTTTGTCCTCTCATTTTGGGTTTCACAGCACAGAGCATTGTTGAGAGAGTTCACAAATCCAAGACAATCTACGTTTGATGATAACTGCTTTCTGTATTTGGCACTAATTCCTGTTGTTGAGTTTCTCATTATGGTTGCTATATGATGAAGGTTTCAAAGCTTCAAAACATGGACGAGCAATTGTTGAATGCAATCTGTGATTATCTGAAGCCAGTGCTGTACATTGAGCGCAGCTTCATTGTTCAAGAAGGAGAGCCACTGGATGAAATGGTGTTCATAATTCGAGGCAAGGTAATGATCTATTCCAAAAGAGATGGCGAGTCCGGAGCTGATTCCTCGGAGTCCAAGTGGCTTACCAAAGGTGACTTTTATGGAGAGGGTCTTCTAGATTGGGCACTACAAAATCCTACTTCAGCCACTGTCCCCATATCTACCAAAACCATCCGTGCACACTCGAAAGTCGAAGTGTTTGTGCTTATGGCAAACGATTTAAAAACCGTACTCTCTAAGTTCTGGTGGCTTTTCAGCAAAAACTCTCCAAGTATGAAAGCGATGTGCGCGCCGTGGGCAGCTTTAGCTTTGCAGTTAGCATGGCGTCGATACTGCAAAAGTAAGCGCGAGAAGAAGATCAGATCTCCTGAGTTAGCTACCGAAGGAAAGAATCCTCCTGAACAGAACATAGCAGCCCCAGCCAGAGTCTCAGTTCTTGCCTCGAGATACATCGTCCGTGCTCTCTGCGCTTTAAAGAAAAAGGTTAAGAAAACACGGGCAGATCAAACCAGCAGAGTCTGAGAAGAGAACTGTTGATGTAACTTCGCTTCCATTTACCTTTCTTTCTCAGTTATCATTAAATGCTTCATCTCTGTATATTCTATACTCATTCCACTGTCATCAATGTGAATATGTGATGCTACCTTGTGATATATATCGGTTCAACGTCTATGAGATTGACATGATCGAACTAAATATATTGAAACACAAAAAAAGATGTACAAAATGATGATGCCAAACAAATAAGGGTGAGGCAGTGATGAAACGATCAAAGAGACGATGCCTAAACCTTTTGTCCGAACTGAAAACTTTTCGGATTTTTGATCTGTTTTTTTGTTCACTTGTCGGTTTTCTTTTTCATTTGCACCCCTTACATTACAAGTTTAATAGAAATTAGTTAACTTGGGAGGGAATTTTCAATTGAAGTTGCACAGGTTTTTGTAACTAACTTTTGAAACCCATCTCCGCATAAATCCAAATATAATTTTCTTTAAAATTTTAAAGAGTTGAGTTGTAAGCCTCAGTGTTTTTCTAACCTGTGATTTTGAGCATTTATTCTTCGATTTTTATAGTTTTAAAATATTGGTTCCAATACTTTTTAATTCTTTATCTCTTTATTTTACTTTTTATATCATTTTTCTTCCATCGCAATGCTGGCCCTCGATAAATTTCTTGAGATATTATAATTTCATAGTTTATTGTACCTATAATTTGTATCAAAATTCTTAAACGAGGATCAAAGAGTCCTTTGAAACGAATTGAAAATAAATATTTTAAAAATACATAGATTAAAATATACAAAAAGTGATCTTAATTATATATAATTTTCAACTTTTAATACGAATGGACAAAAGCTAATATTAATTAGGGATATCATCAGTTTACCTTCCTGACGACAAAAAAGAAAAAATAAATAAAAGATTAAAAATTAAACAGCAATGTGTTGGCGGGAAATAAAACGACAAATCTGCGTAGCGTAACAAGCAAGCCTCGCGAATTTATGCTTAGTTCGTTTCGTAGCTTCATTTTCATCTCTGAAATAGCTCGGCTTCAACTTCAAGCGTATCGTCGATCCAGCCTACAAAGAAGTTTTAGCGCCTGCTGTTGTCGTTATGGAATCGCCAGTTGTGGAGATGTCGATGCATGCTCTTTCTATAAATCCGCCCAGAAGGAGTCCATCTCATCAACAAAAGCTGCAGCAGGAAGGAACCTGAATCAATGGCGTCTGCTGTGCTGCCGAGAAACAAGTAATAACTGCGTTGTCCGCAAGAATGCAAAGACGGCGACGCACGCTTATTGAAAAGGATTGATTCCGTCGCTGTTGTTGAAATTTCAAACCCAATACTCGTCGAAATTAAAGATTTAAACCAGTGTGGATATAGGTCGTCGATCGTTGGATCCCTATCCTTTGAGTCAACCATACAGATACTGTATACATGTCCGGCCCCCCATGAGAATTGAGAATTAATTTTGAAACCCCTAATTAATACTAGGCGCTTCTATTACCATACAATATTTCTCTTTCTTCCTCCTCCTCCGTCTACTCTGAATTGACAACGCCTTGTATGGCAGAGGAAGAATTCAGATCTTCGAGTTAATGTTCTGTATATGGACCACATGGGCATGGTTCACATTCACGTTTACCAACCAAGGGGGACGACTTGAAGCCTTGTATTTGCTTGAGTCAGCGTAGGTACTGGAGGATGCTGCTATAAGGATAGTCGTCCTGTGCCCAGTAAGAAAGAGCTCGCTATGAATGGTGGAGAAGATGATGCCATACGGTTAGTTACCTCGCTATCCAAATTTGCGTTTCCCCCTCTATTTTCTATGGCTGGGTTGAGTTTTTTGCCCTAAATTATTTGTGCCATCCTCCTGGTTTGCTAATTTATGTTTTTATTCGTGTGCTTCTTAGATTGAACATTGATATATGCTGATTTGACTGATGTTTTTGTTTAGGATTCAGTCTTCCTCTAGTGAGCAGAAGAATGAGAACCTTTCCTCCCAGTCTATGGGTTCAGTGGGACCGACTCCGAGAAGATTTGAGTCTTCTTATAATACAGTTACGAGTTTCGGAAATATTAATTTTGATGATGAATTAAAGAGTAAAGGCTTAAGCTCCATAAAAAAGTCTATTGAAGGAAACGTGCTACTCCTTCATTTGTGGAATGATGTACTTTTCACGTTGTGTGTAACTGCAACCTTACTGGACCCTTTGTTCTGTTACATCCTAGTAGTTCGTGAAGAGACAAATTGTATTCGGTTTGACAAGAAGTTGAGGTTGACGGCTGTGGTTCTGCGTTCACTCATTGATTTGGGCTACATAATTCTCATCATCTTTCATTTTCGTATTGGTTATATTCCATCTTATGATGCAAATAATGGAAGACTTTGCACAAGAGTGAGGAGATATCTTTTATCTTACTTTACGGTTGACATTCTTGCAGTGCTTCCTCTCCCACAGGTAAGGACGATTAGTCTCTCCCTAAGAATAGAATTTGAAAGATTATAAGCCATATATGTTATCTGGTGATGTTGATATAAACAATGTTAGAAAATATGCGTGCAGGTGGTGATTTTATTTGTCGTTCGAGCAACAAAAGGTTCTCATTTTTTAATCGCTATTAGGTCATTGAAACTTGTTCTTATAGTTCAATATTTGCCAAGGGTCTTTCGAGTATACTCATTCTTAAAGAAAGTGAGATGGAGTTCTGGCATTTTGCCCAATTCTGCTGGGGCCAAAGCTGTATACAATCTCTTACTGTATATGCTTGCGAGTCATGTAAGTCCATCGCCAATCTTTTGTACTCGACTGTATTGTTATCTGCTTGCACGCGACTGATTGATTTGCTAGTGAATCTGCAAGGACTGATCTCATTTGCATTCAGTACAAAATAGCTTTTGGAGAGGCTTGCTTGGGCAGCAGCTGAAAATTTTTATACGATCAAAGTGAGATTGACAGGATTCAAGAATCAAAACTAATGTAGAAATTAATCTTGAATGGATATTTTCGTTCTTATGTTTCTAGGAGTTTGTTTTTTAAGCTCTTTTCTCGGACAATTATCATATTGCTAAGAAATCTCAACATCTCGTATTGTGATATTATCTGCATCAGTTGCCTCTAGTGGAATCAAGGGTTCATTATGTGCTATTGACTACTCCTGCCCTTTTTTCTTTTTCTTATTTCAAGGATATTTATGAGGACTTTGGAATAACCCTGTTAGGTTCCATGGGTTTATTTGGTGTTGGAAGTATATGTTTTTAAGCCTATCCATGTTATCAACTTGGAGTTGTTTTAGTGAAAGTTAGAAAATATAGCCTGTAATGTGGATTTTAGTTAGAAAATATAGACTGTAATGTGGATTTTAGTTAGAAAATATAGCCTGTAATGTGGATTTTGGTTAGAAAATATAAGATCACTGGCTGTAAGCCTGCAGCCCTTTTCAATGGTCGATTTGGAGCCTTTGTACTTTTTCTTTGCCTTTGCCCATATCTTAGCATCAACTCAGCATCTATTTGGTCCTTTTAGGTCTTTGGAGCCTTTTGGTACTTGTTTTCTGTTGAGCGCAGAGCAACTTGCTTGCAAGAAAGGTGTCATAGTCATCCATATTGCCCTCGGAATTATAATAACAGCTCTGTTGAGAAATTGTGCATGGATGCTTGCCCATCAAATTCATCATCAAATGACACAGCAGCTTTCAATTATGGAATATTTGATGATGCCTTTAAGTCTGGTGTCGTCTATTCAACTGATTTCATATGGAAATTAACTTACTGTTACTGGTGGGGTCTGCAGAGTTTAAGGTTTGTTCTCTAAAGCCTATGTATTCTGTATTAGTCCTCTACCCAACTTGTGTTAACATATTTCACTACTTCAACATTTTTCAGTTCTTTGGGTCAAGGCCTCAAAACTAGTAAGCATATATGGGAAGTTTACTTTGCAGTCTCCATTACCATCTCTGGCTTGATATTATTTGCACTTCTAATAGGAAATTTGCAGGTCAGTGCCAATTAAGATTCATCCATGCTTCTCCATCCAGATATATAATAATATGGTTTAACGCCGCCTTTGGATGTGGCAATTTGGTGAGCTTTGTTTTTTTTTTTTTTTTTTTGGTTGCGAAAACAGACATTTCTGCAGGCAACTATTGCAAGATTGGAGGAAATGAGATTGAAGGGGCAAGATATTGAACTGTGGATGGCCTACCATTCACTCCCACGTGATCTAAGAAGGCGGATCAAACGATATGAGAAGTATCGATGGCGGAAAACCAGAGGTGTTGATGTCGAGAACATTCTCCATAATCTTCCTAGAGATCTTAGAAGGGACACAACAAGACATCTTTGCTTCCGTGCAATCAAAAGTGTAAGTTTCTGTTCTCCTTTCTATTTCCATTCATGGTGTTGTATTTCACTTCATGGTTATTTTCTACTTTGGTAAAGGTCTCATTATTTCAAAACACGGATGAGAAGTTCTTGGATGCAGTCTATGGTTATTTGAAGCCTACACTATACATTGAGCATAACTTCATCGTTCGTGAAGGCGAACCGCTAGACGAGATGATCTTCATTATTCATGGCAAGTTATGGATCTATTCCAATTCCAACAGGGATGGTGAAACATCAAGTTCGTCTGGGAGCCTTGAAAAGGGTGATTTCTTTGGAGAAGACCTTTTAGAATGGGTATTGAAAGATCCACTTTTGTCCACTGTCCCCATATCCACAAAAACTGTCTCTACACACACCAAAGTAGAAGCATTTGTTCTAAGCGCAAATGATCTGAAGCATGTGGTCTCCAAATTCTGGTGGCTTTTCAGTCGAGAGCTTAGAAACGATCCCAACTTTAAAGAGCGGTTCGCGCCATGGGCTGCTATTGTGTTGCAAGCTGCGTGGCGCCGTTACTTCAGGAGCAAGCGCGAAAAGGAGAATTCTCAGTTAGCCTTAGCTACTGAAAGTGGGAATTCACAGCCTTCAATCACCACAGCCGTTCATGCCTCTAGATTCATTACTCGTGCATTACATGCTTTAAATCGGAGACGAAAAAGAAGAGATGACAGCAGTGACTTGCCACTTGCCAGAACGTAGCAACGCCTGAGAAGATTTATTTCATTTGTAGTAATTCTTTGTGGGTATGTAATATTCCCTCTGGAGCGCGAGCGCGAGCACAAACGCTTAACTTGACATACATTATTCTTATTTGAAGCCACGAGTTTAGTGGGGAAACTGTGTTACATTTCAAGATCTCTTTGTTTTGAGTAAGCGTTTAATATGGTGAACTGTGAAAATTGTCTTTAGTCTTTTGAATAGTTTCTTGTGCTCATGGAGAGAACCCAGTGTGTGTTGAACCATTTGAAAATCTGGGATATGTTTGTTGAATGAGCTACTATACATTTTCGCTTCAAACCAACAGACACAGACAACTATGCTGTTATGTAAAAACTCACCAAATTGATCGTAGTCGTAATGATGAAAACTTTGACTTCTATAGTAGGTTTTGATTTTTGTGTTTATTCCATTATTATCAACTCAACCAAATTATAAATACGATGGATGGAGGGGAGATTTATCATTTATGTCCTCAGATAAATCTCTGTAGAACTCAGATTCTTGTAATTTTACTTTAGAATGATTCGTAACAAATGTTTGTTTCATTGAATGATTCGCAAAATATGGACTCGATTGTCTTAAATTTGAAGATTTGACGTTCGGAATTGAAATGTTAGGGCTGGATTTGAGGAATAATTTCGTACCTGTCGCTGTTGTCTGGGCCTCCCCAATAATTTTTACATCCCTTGGAATACACAAACGAGAACGACGACTCTAATGATCAAGGAATCTTACTGTCGTACTACCGACCTCACGGGTCACATTTGCGAACCAATGAGGAAGAGGAAGACTTTGGCGGCAGGCGAAGCCATGTATTTTCTTGAGCCACAGGAGGATGCTGCTGTCGTAAGGATATACCCATTCTGTGTTCACTAAGAAAGAGCTACAGCCTAGCTATGAATTCTGAAGAAGATGACGCCATACGGTTACTTCTTTTTTCAACTTTTATACTTTGCATCGTCCCTTTAGTGTTTACTGCATCAGGGGTAGCCATTGTATCCGGAGAACATCATGATATCATTTTCAAATCTCTTCTTTCTTATTGTTGCACATGCACTGTCGGAGCAACGTTATTCCATTATAATTTCCAACAAAAGACTGTTAGTTTTTATCTCATAAACCTGGAGTGGAGGGGAAGCTTCAATCCAAAATTTTAATTTTTTTAGTGGCCAAGTTTTTCCCCCTAAATTATTTGTTCCATCCACTTGGTCTGCGAATTTCTTTGGCTTCTTAGACAGGTCGTTGATGTATGTTGATTTAACTTATGTTTTGTTTAGGATTCAGTCTTCCTCTCGTGAGCATGAGACTGAGAAGCTTTCTTCCAAGGCTACAGTGGGATCGGTTCCAGGATTTCGATTTTCTTCTGAAAAAATCACGAGTTTTGGAAACATTCAGTTTGACGAAGAAGTCAAGAGTAAAAGATTAAGCTCCATCAAAGCTTCTATTGAAGGAAACGTGATATTCCTTCATCTGTGGAACGATGCACTTGTCATGTTGTGTGTAATTGCTAGCTTACTGGACCCTTTGTTCTGTTACGTTCTAGTTGTTGATGAAAAGAGAAATTGTATTGGGTTCGACAAGAAGTTGAGGTTGACCGTTGTAGTTCTGCGTTCACTCGTTGATATTGGCTACATGATTATGATAATCTTTCATTTTCGTATTGGATATAAAGCGTCATATGATGCAAAAGATGGAAGACTTTTTGCAATAGCAAGGAGATATCTTTTATCTTACTTTACAGTTGACATTCTTTCACTTCTCCCTATCCCACAGGTATGGGCTTTTAGTTTCCTAGAACTTGGAAGATTAGATTATATATGATCTCTAGTGACGTTGATCTAAACAGTATGAGGAAACATGTGCGCAGGTGGTGATTTTATTAGTCATTCCAGCATCAAAAGGTTCTCATTTTACAACTGCAATTAAGTCAATGAAATTTGTTTTTGTAATTCAATACTTGCCGAGACTCTTTCGAGTACACTCATTCTTAAAGAAAGTTAGATGGAGTTCTGGCATTTTACACGATACTGCTGGAAGCAAAGCTATGTTGAATCTCTTCCTGTATATGCTTGCCAGTCATGTAAGTTAATTGCCAATTTTTTGTGCTGGGCTGTATTATCTACTTGCATTTTATCAATTCATGTGACTTGGGCAGCTTTTGAAAGATTTTATAGGACCAAAGTGAGATTGACAGGATTAAAAAAACGCAAAAACTTGGAATACATTGATCTTACATGGATTTTCTCATTCTTAAGTTATCTTTAGGAGTCGGTTTTGAACTCTTTTCTTGAACGGCTATGTTGATGCTGACAAAAAAATATTGGTTTCTTTGGTGTTGGAATTATATGTTTTTAAGCACATCCTTTTTATCAACTTGTAACTGCTTCAGTGAAAGTAATGTGGCTTTCAGTTAGAAAATATAAAATCACAGGCTGCAACTTTTTTTGATGGTACATTCAGAGCATCTATACTTTTTCTTTGCCTATATCTTTAGCATCAACTCAGCATTTATCTGGTCCTTTTAGGTCTTTGGAGCCTTTTGGAACTTGTTTTCTGTTGAGCGCAAAGCAAGTTGCTTGGAAGTAAGGTGTCATAGTCATCCATATTGCCCTAAAAACAGATCTCTCAACAGCTTTGTTGAGAAATCCTGCATGGATGCTTGCTCATTATCAAATGACGCTTTCAAATTTGGAATATTTGATGACGCCTTTAAGTTTGGTGTCGTCTATTCATCTGATTTCATATGGAAAATCTCTTATTGTAACTGGTGGGGTTTGAAGAACCTGAGGTTTGTACTTAAAAGCCTGCGTATTCTGAACTGGTCCTTTAACCCTTTTCTGTGTTAACAATTTAACTTGAATGTTTTTCAGTTCATTGGGTCAAGGCCTCGATACTAGCAAGCATATATGGGAAATTTACTTCGCAACTGCCATTACCATGTCTGGCTTGGTATTATTTGCATTTCTAGTTGGAAATTTGCAGGTCAGTGCCAATTAAAATCTTCGATGTTTCTTGATTTAAATATTGTTAGCTTTCTTTAATTATCAGAAAGTTGTTTTGAGTTCAATTGACAATATGGTATAAAATAGACACTATGTCAGTCTGCTGAGGTTTTTTTTCTTTTTTTCTTTATTACTTTTACATTTCTCTTCTCTGTTGCAAAACAGACATTTCTACAGGCAAACTTTGCAAGAGTGGAGGAATTGAGATTGAAGGGGCAAGATATTGAAATGTGGATAGCCTACCATTCGCTCCCCCGTGATCTAAAGAAGCGAATCAAACAATACGAGAAGTATAGATGGCGGAAAACCAGAGGTGTTGATGTTGAGAACATTCTCCATAACCTTCCTAGAGATCTTAGAAGGGACACAACAAGACATCTTTGCTTAGGTGTAATATCGAGTGTGAGTTTTTGTTCTGATTTCTAATTCAATTCATGGTGTTGTATTTCACTTCATAGTTATCTTCTGATAAGTGATACATGATGAAGGTCTCCATGTTTCAAAACATGGACGAGAAGTTCCTGGATGCAGTCTATGGTTTTCTGAAGCCAATGCTGTACATTGAGCATAACTTCATCGTTCGCGAAGGAGAGCCGCTAGACGAGATGATCATAATTCATGGCAAATTATGGATCTATTCTTCCAATTCCAGTAAGGATGATGAAACATCATGTTCCTGGCCGGGCACTAGGAGCCTTAAGAAAGGTGATTTCTTTGGAGAAGAACTTCTAAATTGGGTACTGAAAGATCCATTTTTGTCCACTGTCCCCATATCCACAAAAACTGTGGCTACACACACCAAAGTGGAAGCATTTGTTTTAAGCGCAAATGATTTGAAGTGTGTGGTCTCCAAATTCTGGTGGCTTTTCAGCAGAGAGTTCAGAAACGATCCTGTTTTTAGAGAGCGATGGGCACCTTGGGCTGTCCTTGTCCTGCAAGCTGCGTGGCGCCGTTACGCCAAGAATAAGCGCGTCGAAAAAGAAAAATCTCAGCTAGGATTGGCCACTAAAAGTGGGAAAAATTCAGAAGCTTCAGTCACCACCTATTTTCATGCCGCTGCATTCGTGGCTCGTGCATTACATGCTTTGAATCAGAGGCGAAAAAGAAGAGACGGAAGCAAAAAGTTGCTAGAAATAGAAGATTCAAGTAAAAGCAATGACTTGCCAGAACCTAGCAACGTCTGAGAAGATTTCATCTGCAACTCTGCATATTATTTATCGCTATGTAATGTAATATTTCATCTTCTCTTTTGAACAAGCCCTCCATTGATTTTGGTTTCCATGTTTGTACGAGGGCGTAGTTTACTGTTCTCAATGGGATTCACAGGATTCCTGAAGGTCTCTACGTTTCATGGCAAATTGTGGATCTATTCTTCCAATTCCAGTAAAGATAAAAGAATCATGTTCCCGGCTGGGCAGTGACAGCCTTAAGAAAGATTTTTTAAAATTGAGTACTGAAAGATCCATTGTTGTTCATGTCGCTAGATTCGTGGCTTGAGCATTCCATGCTTTGAATCGAAGGCAAAAAAGAAGAGACGGAAGCAATAAGTTGGTAGAATTACTAATACAAAACTTATTGCCTACTACATCCTTTCCCCCTCACCTTATTTAAAGAACTCTTTAAGAATTTGACATATCCAACTGAGATAAATAGTAGATTTGACTGTTTGTTATTTGGTCTTTTGAATT